AGATTTGACTAGCAAGAAACAAAAGGGTGAATCATACTCACTGGAATGCAATCTGTTTTGGACATCGTAGGAGTCTAGAATACAAATTACCTAAGTCATTACAACAGAAGAAGTCTTTCTGCACCTGACTGTGGGGGGCTGTGTCCGGGGTGAGATTTGATTTTTGTGGCACAGAATTATGCTAATCAAAGCTGTATTGATCCTACTGCAAAAAATTTAAATCTGCTCCATTTCTCATTCCCAGATGTGTTTTGGTATCTAATTATTTGGAAGAGGAAATAATTATTTTGTCAATGTATTCACATGTCTTACTGTTTAGGTTGTTTTTCCATCTCTCATTTTTCATTCATGTACAGATTCAGGTTTCCCCTTCCTTCAACCATATTTTAGACATCATTCTAAAAAAAAAAAAACAAGTTCTGTTTAGATCTTTTCTCATACTGGTGGGAAAGAATTTTCCTGAAATCTTTGGTTTGTTCTAGTTTTGGGAGATGAACAAAGATAGAATCAATCACCTCCGGGCAGATCATCCCAGCTGCTCTATCATTTGCATCATCTTAAACTCTGTATCTATGAGATTTTGTCAAGAAGAAAGGCAACCCCTAGGACTTCAGAAGTACTTTCATTTTGAAAGACAAAACCCTCAACTTTCCAGTTTCTTTGCAAGTGGGCATTTTCCTGTCTTCAATTGTGAAAATTGTGTTTGCTGTTTTTTTCCTTCAGCTGCTCCAGATGATTGACTTTTTTCTCTCTATCTTTCATAGAAACTCACTGCTCTGGGCCCATAGTTAAGGCTGAGGAGAAAGCTGTCTAGGTGTATCTCTGGATAGTAGAAATCTAACCTGTGCAAGGACTTGTGAAGCAGTTCTTTGTAACTCACAGAAAGAATATTTATTACAGGAAATACATGTACAGGGCATAGGCAAAGCCTAGTTCCTAGTGTCAACTTGCAAAGCTTTCAAGTTGTCATGAGCAGGAGGGAGGGAGAAGTGATAGAGCTGATTGATTTCCCTAACTGAAGTGCATTCCATACATTCTTCCTGACTGCAATCAGAAGGAGGGTGTTGGATTTCACAGCCAGTCAAAGTGGTTAATTGGAGAATGTGATTTATGACATGGCCAGAGAGGAGGGGAGAGACAGGGTCATAGGGGAACGTAAATCTATGTGGGATTAGTTCTAACTGCATCCAAATATTGCCGAAATGGTGCTCCTAATAAATGACTGTATTTCTTTTGAAGTTTGGCTCATGGCTCATGAATTAATTAGGACATCTTTCAGAAACTTCACACCTAGCTTGCTACATCAGGCAGATGGAAAACATAGGCAGAAAAAGGCACCCTGAGATTTCCAGCTTCACAGACAGAGCAGCCACAAGTGATTAATAAAGAGGATCTACAGGAAATTCCTCACTCTCTATTCAGTAGCATTGTGTCTGATGGTTGTGAGGCACTGAAGAATTGGTGTAACTGAAGTTGTTGTTTGAGCAGACCCTGTCACAAAACACATGTCACAAGCCAATAGGATTGTGCAAGCACACATTGTTTTGACCCAAGACAGTAGGATTGGCAAGCACATATTGTTTCAACTACCACAACTCTTGTGTTAAATTTTATATTTACCGACAAAGAAATAAAGGGAGACTTTAACATAAAAATAATTTGTCGTGAAAGCGACTGCCTGCGAAGGCTCCTGGACTGGGGCTGAAAAGTGAAAGTGGAAGCAGTATGCTCCATCCCATATTTGGGTAGACCAGGTTGCCCTGATAAAAAACACCACAACCCATACTTCTGCAGGACATGTTTAGCTCCTCTACCTTGCAAGAATTTACTCTCCAATCTCTTATTCTGTAGGGCCTCCCCATTTCCCCCCCAAAAACTCAGAGGCTGTTGCTTCTGTGAAGGTCCCAGAATGGTTTCTGAGTTCCAGTAATGCAAAGTCTCTTCTACATCTTTTATTTCTGGTTGTCACTTCTGTCCACTATGCTCAATCCTTTGTCCTTTGCATGAGAGTGGCTGGCACGTAATGGGAACCTGATAAACGTTCACCTTCCAACATCCCCAGTTGTTGCTTCCATTCTTTGGTTTGAAGGATCACTGCAAATTGGTGTGTGCTGCAAACATATATGAGATTGCCCTTGGACTGTAATGGAGCATATGGTTGCATACACATGGAGTTGTAATAGATTGGTCTCCATCAAGCAAGCAATCCCAAGCCCTCTCCTACATTCCTTACTATTACAATCCTGGAGACAACCTGTTTGCTAGGCAACTGAAGTCCCTTTGTTTTTTGTTTTTGTCCAGAGAAAATTTCTCTCTGCATTTTTTTAAACAGTTTGTTTATATATTTTCACATTACACACATAAGTGCTTAGTGAACAGTGCATTGACTGGATCAATTTATTTACATATAATACTTTTCCCACTCCTAATTTCTACCTCTACTATACAACCTTTTATAAAACAAGTCCCATGTTTGAAAATAATCTGTATCTTCTTTTTCTTTTATTTTTAGCGTCAATCTGTCTGTTTCTGCACAATCTAATTTTTTTTAATTACATCGTCCTCTGTAGGTGTTTCCTCATTTTTCCTATACTGTTGCATTTTTGATCACAAGGGAGAAAGTGGAAAATTTGTTCTTGACTTTCTTGGTCTTTTCGGTAACTGAGTAGAGTAAATACAATCTGTGAGCAGTTCAATTCCATGTCTGAATGAGGATCCTGATTCCAGAAGACCATAGGAATATTGAGCATAGACATTGAGATCAAGCAATTCATTCACAGCTGGAGATTATGATAGAAGGTGAAAAGGAAAATATCACGAATGTCAGATAATCATCTAATGATAATGATTGTGAGTGTGGTAGCACAGTGGTTAGAGTGCAGTACTGCAGGCTTCTGCTGCTGCTGCTGGCTGCCTGCAATTTGGCAGTTCAAATCTCACCAGGCTCAAGGTTAACTCAGCCTTCCATCCTTCCGAAGTAGGTAAAATGAGGACCCAAATTGTTGGGGGCAATATGCTGACTCTACTTAGGGAGGACTGTAAAAGCACTGTAAAGTGCTGATGAGCCATGGTAGCACAATGGTTAGAGTGCAGTACTGCAGGCTACTTCTGCTGATCACCAGCTGCCAGCAGTTTGGCAGATCGAATCTCACCAGGCTCAAGGTTGACTCAGCCTTCCATCCTTCCGAGGTCAGTAAAATGAGAACCCAGATTGTTGAGGGCAATATGCTGACTTTGTAAACTGCTTAGAGAGGTCTGTAAAGCACTATGAAGCGGTATATAAGTCTAAGTGCTTTTGCTAATCAGAAATGCACATAGTGCATTACTTCCGCCCACCCTGATCCCCACAAACACTATTGAAAGAACAAAATAGAGTTCAGGGTTTTTTTTTTTTTAAAAAAAAAAAACCACAGTCAGTTCAATACATATCTGTCTTACACTCTCTTTAATAGGTGTTTTGTTCAATTTCCCCCGTTCTTCCCCAAAATGAAGACAGATTTCTAGAAAATGCAAAATGGAGTTTTCTCATCCTCTTTGTGAAAGCCCAACTTTCTCACTACTCATGGTTTGAGTTTCCCATGCTTTTCTGATCTCTTTTAAACTTCTGAGAATTTTATTTTAATTGGTTGCCATGCCACTGGAAGACAGTCTAGGAGATTGGCAGGTAGTGCTTTGACCCATGAAATCATTGGCTGTGTACTACTTGCCAAATCCCCCTGTGCCTCATTTGCCAGTATAGAAATAGTGACAGCTGTTGCCACAGCATCTATTCCCCACCCATTTCAATTCTCCTCGGTGTTGTTGTTCCTTCCACTTGCAACATTGCTCCAGACAACACTGTCCTGTGTATATTCTTTTAATTGAAACCATGCTTTTGGGATGATTTCTATTCAGAAAGAGAAGCTTTGAGGGAGTTTCAGTCCAGATTGAGTTCACTAATCAAGCTCAGATTTTTCTATCAAGGGGATGGAAATTCTTACTGCTGCTGATCTCATTCTGATAGGGTAACAAATTTTCCAACTGAACATGGGACTAAAATGTCTGGGAAATATATAATATCATGCTGGTTTTGATTGCTTGATCTGGACTTTTTTCTCTCTTTGATGAAGAAATAGAGTTAGGAAGATTTTTTTAAAAATGTGCTGATGTGAATTAGTATTTCGGGTATGATATGCACTTCATATATACTATTTTCAGTCAGTTAAAGGGAGTAACCGATATAAAAAACATGATTTTGGATACTGATTCAATCTATATATGAGTAAGTAATGAAACTATTATATAAACCTTTAAACTGCAGTGTCAGGAAGGTTGAAAAATAGAATTGGGAATAGCATTAGATTGACTACTTTTTATTTTTCTTGATTCGTTGCATTGAAAGAATCATTGAATAGAAAAAAGGGCAATGTTAGATGGATTGATTATAGCTATAAAAATTAAAATATGTTAAAGAAACTTAGATTACTCGTAATCATTTAACTACTGTTCATATACAATGTGTAAAATGTGCATTGTGTCGATACCTTGCTTTCCTAGAGAAAGAAAGATAATTCAACAGAGAATTGTTCATTAATGTAGTGAGGAAAGAAGTCTGGGGATTCTGTGCCACAAGCATATGGTAATTACAACCCACTGGACTAAAGTCAGAAACTGTTAGCAAATAAGAAGTATGTATGTTGTATCATCAACAGGGGACTCAACTGGTCATGAAATATAACCTTCCTTAAATAGGATAAAATATCAAAGCAGAACCAGAGAGCACAGCTATGATTTGGAACAGCTTCTGGGAAAAAAAGAACCCTGAGAACAATCACTTCATTGCCAAATTCAACCCTTTGCCTTGAGGTTTCCAACTCTAATTATTATGAATGTAGCATGATGACCAGTTCATTTGTCCAAGACTAAAATCTAGTCTTACATGAATACAAAAGTTTGTCTAGTAAGTCAAAGCAGACAAATTAAGAGTATCATAGAATGTCACTGATGTCATAATGAGAGGCAGTTTGATATAGTGGTTAAGACACCAGGTTTGAAAATGGGAGACTATGAGTTCTAATTTGGCCTTACACAAGGAGTAAGATGAGTGACCATAGCCATTCTGTCAACCCTAGGAAGCAAGTAATGGCAAATCACTTCTGGAAAATCCCTGCCAAGAAAACTGCAGGGACTAGTTCAGACAATTTCCAGAAGTCAGTATTGATTTGAAGATTCAAAGAAAATGCCATTGAGCATAAATACATTTATTTATTTATTTATTTATTTATTTATTTATTTATTTATTTATTTATTTATTTATTTTCTAGATTTGGGATTTCTTTTTAGTTATTTTGGTTTGGTTTTATTAACCAAACCAAACCAAACCAAATTCTTGGTTTGAACAACAACATAAAAAAAAAACAACAATATGAAACCTTGCACTTCATCATCTAAACCTTAGCTGAATTCATTTCCTCAGAAAAGGCAACTATCTGAAAATAGTCTGAAAATTATTTCCAATTCTGCCAAGAAAATAACAATGTTACTGAAAAAAGAAGAAAGAAAGTGACTTAAAGAAAAAAGAAGGAAGTGTTTTGTCTTCAGTTTGGCATGTGTCATCTTCTCATAAGAGGCTATAATTCCTATAAATGTAGCTTCTCGACCTTTTGGCTAAGATCAAGTGTAGTATCTATAAATGTAGCTTAATTTCCAAATGTTTTAAAATGGAAAACAGGCTGGAAAAAAAAATTTTTTTTGAAGTATATTTGGTCACACAGACTCAAATTCTAGATGCTCACTGGCTGATTTTAGCACAGGCGTGTTCTTTTAGCCCAACATACCTCACAGGGTTGTCATTTATTATTTTATACTAGAATTCTTAAGTGTATACATACTGAGTGCTTTTATTTGTTCTGGTCTAAGACTGTAATAATAAATTGAATTGAATACCTCATGGGGTTGTTGTTATAAGGATAAATGGGAGAAGAAAGTGCCATTGATACCATTTGAACTGAAGAAAAGGTGGCATGTAAGCTAATATATCAATCTAGACTCTGGATTTGTCAATAGTTTTTTTTTTTTTTTCCTGAAATCATCTATTTATTTATGGTCTAAATGTCAGAAGGACACTTTCTTAGATACAGCTGTATTAGGCTTCTTTGAACCAGAAATTCTGATTTCTATCTGTGCAATTGATGAATTAATTCAGTATATATAGAACCATGCTCTATTTAATATATAAATATATGCTATATCATCCTGCCCGCATCCTATTTATAATTAGTGTTGTATTTATCTCTTTTAAAAAAAGTACTGTCATTCTACCATCAATTCAACATAAAACCCAGCTTCATTTACAAATAAAGATCAATGGAGTGGGAAGCTCTTTGATTTTGGTCCATCACAGTAGAGATAGCTATTATTTTATAAAGGTCTCCAAGAAATTCCTTATGTTATAAGCAAAACGTATGTGACTCTTTTGAACCCAAATTTAGACCCTTTTCTTTTGCTTTTTGCTAACAGAATATGACTGCTTGGATTTCAATTCCAGGATAGTAATTTCAGCCAGCCATTCAAGCTTTTGGTTTTCTCAGCTGCATAAACAGTCCAAAGAAGAATGGAATACTTTGCAAGCTATGTATCCTTTGCTCAGTTAGGATTTATTCATGAAAATCCTTGCATTCTGAAGCACCTGAGCTGCAAAACATAAAATTTAATTTTTGGAGGCTCCATGATGTAGATAATTAGGGAAATTTGTCTTTGCATACAGCCAAGCTATTCAGATATTTGTTGCTATGTCTTTCCAAATAATTCAAATGTGTGAAGTTCACCTGAATGTTCCTAAACTGACTATTTTGTAAAGTCAGACTAAATCTCTTTAAATAAATGTATGACTCTTAGGTAACATTGCCCCAAACAAAATGCAAACTTGTTATGTTTTATGGCACTGTGAGAAATGAAGAAAAGGCTTTTGGGAAGGTGTACATTCTCTATGGTTAAAATAGGAATTTTGTTTTATACTCATTACAGGCAAGTTTCCTGGATTTCACAACAAGCAGAATTGGCAGCTGATTCTGCTAGGAATGTAATAATTTGTATTTCTTTAGTCTGTGCCTTTATGAGGTGAAGTATTGGGTGTATAAGATTTTTAAACAAAATATGCATTCCTTTGGTTCAAATTTAAACAGTTTGGGGAAAATGCAATCCAGAATTAAAACTACACATTTCTATAAAGTGAAGCATCCAGAGAACATCTAAATATAATTTACTGGAAATGTTTCCTCAAAAATGATATTTGGGTAATGAAGTTGTAGGAGAAGAGAGTTAGCCAGTGAAATAAGCAAGCTGTCAGTGTTCCGAGTAATGCACCCATTGAAAACAGAACTCCAAGGTACGTAGATTCCTCAAAGAACATGTTTATTGGATACATCATATCGGCACAGCTGGTGAAAACCAACTCTGAAAGTTCCCGCGGTTTTCAGCTAATTAAAAGAGCAAAAATCCCCCCTCCCAAGTGTCACTGGTCACATTGTCCAATGAATATAGCTAGCAGGCTCCTCTTCTCCTTCAGCAGCCACCTGTTACGATGATCTTGGTTCCCACAAGAAAAATATTTGTTTTGACTGTTAGCCAGGCTATCTACTTCCTCCCTCCCTTCCCCCTCTCAGGCTTCATGGCTACTATGAGCCAGCACAAGATGGCTTCAGCCAGGTTCGCTTCACAGTTGACACAAGCATTAAATCGGGGAAATAAATATATGTTTCAGTCCTGAAGTAAGCAAAAGAGAACTCCAATATATGCACTGGAAATCTTAACACAACAATAGAGCTGTAATAGTTGGAGCACAGGGTCCAATTATTCATGTAAGGGTTCAAATTGGACAAAACTATCTTCAGCCATCTACTTGGGTTGTTTATTCTGGTCACAGCAATCAAGTATCAGAAAAGTGAATGTTTATGTTTCTGGGAAAGGATAAGCTTAGAATGTTTCTTTATGCATTCTATAGTTTTGATGAAACACTGGAAAGGTTCAAAAACTATTAAATCTGCTTATTATAGGAAAATCCAGTGAAGTATTATGGTTCTCAATAAGTTTTATGTATTTAGCAAATTTATATAACATAAAATGTGACCCTGGGAGGCACACAATAGATAAAAACAGTAAACACCATAAAAAAACACTCAAACACAAATAAAAAAAAGAAAAACCCAAGATAGCAAGATGACAATCATGACTTGACAACTTGCTGTCTCCCCATGGGACCATGGAAGAACTACAGTTTGAGAGGTTTTTTGGAAGGCAAGCAGAGATGGAACCAACCTCACTTGGGGGCGGGGGTGGTGGAGTGGAATGATATTCCAGAGGGCAAAGGCCACAGCATAAAAGGCATGCCTCCTGGATCCCACTAGGTGGAACTCAGTAGACAGGACCCACAGGATACCTCTCCTGATCAACCTGATGGAATGGACTGATATAAGTGGGAAGAGACGGTCCCTCAAATAACCTGGCCTTATACCATGTAGGGCTTTAAAACTTAAAACCAGAACATTGAACTTCACTCAGAAGCAAACTGGTAGCCAATGCAGCTCATGGAACAGAGGTGTAATGTGCTCCATTCTAGTAACTGTCCACACAGTTGCATTCTGCAGCAGTTGAAGCTTCCAGATATTCTTCAAAGGCAGCCCCATGTGGATCTCCAGTAATATATTCTAGAGGTGACCAAGGCATAATACTTGTGAATACAGCCTCATAGTCCAGGAAAGGGTGCAAGTGGCACATAATAGGAAATATTAAGATAGCAGATGGCAAATCTTCTTCAATGGGTGATAATCTTAAGGTTTTTTTTTTTTTTTTTCAGTCTAGGGGGATATGGATGAGTTTATGCCCAATTCTCAAAGGAATAATTAAGCCTACACGATATGGGAATAACAATTATAATATTTTTCTAGACACATTATCAACAAATTGTATAGTAGAATTGCTTCTTCATCTAAAACATCAACAGCCATGGCTGCCTGTTAGTAGCTTAAAAGCAAATTTGTTCCAAGATTATGAGGACCTGAGATCTAGTTAGACTTAATTATTATAGGACAGGCTGCAGCAATGAGCTTTATAGGAAGTTTCGGAGTCTAGGGCTGTGCAAAATGTGTTTTGGTGAATATTGGGCAATAGTAATGTGTCTGTCCATGCCAATTGCAGCTTTTGGATACAATTCAGGATGCTTATTCTTAAATTCAAGCCTTATATGGCCTAGGTCTCCTTTTAGAGACCATGTTTTTGTTATATTACTTCAGGCCAAATCATGGACAGATTGTCTAGGAGAAGGTCTTTTGATGTGATTGTGGAGAGTCAACATCAACCTGATAGCACGTAATGAAATATTACCTCAAAGTGGCACCATTCAGACAGACTTTGATTCATTTTGTTCTGTCCCTACTACCTTGCAAAATATTGCCACTGCCTTTCCCTACCTTCAGAATATTTAATTTTGGTCATATAAAGTAATAAAAACAACCCAACAATAGATCATATGATAATTGCTATTGCCAGATATGGAAACCTAAATTGCTAGTCAATGTTTCTACTTCTTTAGTAGACGTCAAAACTCAACAGTAGAAAGATAGGATTACATAGCATATGGGATTACATTTGCTTCCTCCCCTTGCAAGAATGGCTGAAATATATAGCTCATAAAGGATATGTGGTTCCCAGTTCACTCATACTTTGGAATATAAACAAAAAATTATTATCAAGGATAAGAACCTAGAGAATACCAAAGAATTTTTCCTGGGGCCATTTTTACTTTAAGCCAGATCTCAACAAGAAGGAATTCTGGATAGAATCCCAATAGTATGACCTAATGACTAGTGTTCCAACTTAAATAATATACACTTCTTTTATAGAAAATGCTTCTGTGAGGTGAATCAGCAATTGCCATCACCAATTCACAAATGAGATTATATGTATATTGTATTAATATGTATTGGGAAGATTTTAGGACATCAGGAATGGCTAATTACATCCACTGATTTCATTGGAATCTAGATTCAACTTAGGAATTTCAGTGCTATTTTCTTGCAAATGGTACTGTTTCAAGAAGCAGAAGGGGAAGGATAGTGATTTTCTTCTGTGCCTCAAAATCTATTCCAAATAGATCCCCTGAGAAAAATTTTTGGCAGAGAAAAGAAGCTATACAAGGTAGGAATGATATCAAAAGGCTCATTGTGTTACTCTGAATACAGACTAATTCTAGCTTTCATATTTTGAATTTAAGAGCTGAGGTTCAGAATACAGAATAACAGAGTTGGAAAAGGACCTTGGAGGTCTTCTAGGTTGATCCTCTGATCCATCAGGAGATCCTATATCATTCCAGACAAATGGGTTGTCCAATCTCTTCTTAAAAACCTCCAGTGATTTGGTTGAAGGAGCTAGGTATGCATAGCCTATAGAAGAGAAGTATTAGAGGGGACATGATAACTGTCTTCCAGTAGTTGAGGGGCTGTCACAAAGAGGATGAGAATGGCTTATTCTCTAGGGTGCCAGAGGGCAGGACAAAAAGTAATGGGTGGAAGCTTGTCAAAGAGAACTACTTACTACTAGAAGTAAGAAGAAATTTTCTGACAGCAAGAGCAATTAATGAAAGGAATAGCTTGACTTCTGGGGTTGTGAGCTCTCCATCACTGCTGCTTTCAAAAGTAGACTGAACAATCATTTGACTGGGATGGCATAACTTTCCTGACCTGAGCAGGGGGCTTGGATTAGAAGATCTCCGAAGTCCCTTCCAGCCCTTTGTTTCGATGATTCCATTGAAATGATAATTTGCCCCAGGAAGAAGCATGTCCTCTAACAACCTAACATGGGCAATATGTAAATAAACTATTACAGAGACAATTGATTCTTCCTTTATTCTTGCAGAATATTTTTTCAACTGGATAAGCACCAAAGTAGTAGCTTGAGTGCATTGAAGTTTATAATAGCTCAACCAAATCAACAGTCCCCATAAGGAGGGTTTGCAAAGTACTTATGTTTTCAGAAGATTTGGAAATTCAGATCCTCTTACTGTATAGCTGCAAATTTATTTAACTAGTGAGCAATTCCATCAGTCACAAATCTAAATGGCTGGGTCATGCTCCTGTACAATCTAATCTGAAAGATCAAAGTGATTCACAGGGATGGAGGATAAAAAGTTTCTTGGAAAATTCTCTGGGGATAAAATGACGTCATTCTGTAAGAGTTCTAGTGAGTCATTTAAGTGGAGACTATTTTACAATAAGACTCCAAAACAAATATGCAAGATTCCCATCTTTAATGAATTTGTTCTACAGTGGCCATCAGTTGAACTAATTTCCTTCCATGATCTTCATATATTGTATTGTATGTATTGTATGTAGGGATATCTTGAAATTGACAGTTAACATTTTTTGATACTTCATTTAATGAGAAAAGGAAGTAGACATGGGTATAAAATATAAAGATTCTCTACAGAACTCATGGAGTTTGAAGTAATTTCTGCACTTTTATCCTGGTATTATATATCACACAGCATCTTAACAATGTTGTGTTCATTTACATTCTTAGTATTTTCTAAAAGGTCACTATATCATAAAGGTTAAATAGATTTCGCTTCAAGTCCAATAGTGATGGCAATTGACACCAACCAAAACTTCAACTTCAAATTTATACAATATGAGCCCTAGCCAGCATGGATAATGGTGAAGGATGATAAGAACTGGAGTCCAACCATTTCTAGAGAGCCAGTCATGTGGTTCTTGTAAGTTACAGATTTAAAATAATTGTCGTGGAAAGGCTTTTTAGCTAACCTGGTTTATACAGAATGTTTTTCACTGATCGTTTTGAAAGGGAATGGAAATCCCATATGTAGTGTGACTTTACTTGCCTCCTCAT